TTAAGCTGAAGTGTTTTATGAAATGTCACTGGTCACAGCGGACACCGAGCGCGCAACTATTCGAACTTCGGAGTAGTCATGTGGTATCACGCGAAATTGAAGGAAAATCTTAGCTCTTTGCCCGTCTTTCGCACTGACATTTATTAAATCAGGATTTAGCTCGCATCGTTACATGCAGAAATCAAGCGCGCAACTACCCGAACTCTGCGGTATTCTTGGCGAGATAATACAGCGAGATACGCGTAATTTTTTTATTTTTTTCTTTACAAAACAGTCGAGAAAAATGTGTTTTTTTTTTAAAAAATGTTTACGGTAATTTGCATGATAATGTTTGATGAATCAACACCGGTCAAAGCAGACACCAAGCAAGCAACTATTCGAACCATGGAGTAGGAATGCGGTATCTTAAAAAAATGAAGGCTAATCTTGGCCATAGGCGTAGCTAAGTTAGTTTGCTATGGGTGGCCTAGCCTCCATATCACAGAGGGATATGGACTCCCCTTCCCTCCTCCCCAGCACAGAGGGGGGCTTGGTGAGCCTCCACCGTAAACTTATTACAATTTACCGTTATTTAGACGCATTTTAGGGTATTTTTATAATGCAAATTTTCTATCCATTTCTGCAAAAAAATTACGGTGAGTTCTGTATTATCAGCTCAAATTACTCTCGAGTCGATGGATTCAAGACTTCAATAGATTTGTTGTTTTTTCCTCGAATAAGACTTCTGAGAGATGGGGGGGGGCGGCAAATGATACTATTTTTAACTGTAGGGGGGCCAGGCGCCCCTTGGCCGCCCCTAGCAACGCCCATTAAGTATCTCGGCTTTTCGCCTGTCTCAAAGTATACTAACGTTTCTGAATGAACCATCTGTGCTCGCATCGTTAAATGAAGGAATCAAGCGAACTCTCGAACTCTCGAAATCTGGAGTAGGTATGTGGTATCATCCAAAAATGAACACAAAACTTGGATTTTTGTTTATCTCAAGTTCCGAATTAAGTACTCATTCGTTTATGAATGTAGGAATTATCGAGCGCGCATGCTATTGGAATCCCGAAGTAGGCCTGTGGTATCACGCCAAAATGAAGGAAAATCTTAGCTTTTCGTCGGCCTCAAATTATTGATTATTATGAATAATACGATATCAATATAAAAGTCTTTTTTTTATGTTCTTACAAAACTGCTGAACGAATCGCGTACTTTCCGCGATATTGAGGTGGATACGCGTACTTTTTATATTATTACAAAGCCGCTGAATAAAGTGCGTATAGCATAGACATATCATTTAATTTTTTATTATGTTCCATTTTGCGTTTCTCATTTTACGATTCATTTTCGCCGTTTTCGCGGTGTCACGAATCCTCATTCCTCGAAGAATTCTTCCCCCTCCTAAATTATTTGTTTGCAACATTTTTCTGCACAAATAAGCATCCTCCTATCTATTGCAGACTCAGATTACGCAGTTTACGCTTTTGCCGCGTGTTTCCGAGACGTATACTTCGTGCGTATCGCGTGTTTTAAGATATTGCACCGTATACTGGACGAGGAGGAGGAGACATAACTGTTTTGGCACCGGGTGGCAAAAACGCAAATCCGGCTCTGACCGCTGCCTATTTTTTTTTTTTTAATGTTCAAGAAAATTGGCATACACATTTCTTATGAAACATTACTGGTCAAAACGGAGACGGGCACAAGCGCGGGACTTTTCGAATTCTGAAGGAGTCACGTGGTATTACGCAAAAATGAAGGCAAATCTTAGCTTTTGGCCCGTCTCAAATCACTAAAGTTTATTAATGTATGTAGGATTTATGCATGGAGGCGGGGAGGCGATCGCCCCCTAACAATTTGCCGCGGAATCCCTGAAGGCCCCCGAGGCGATTTTTTCGATTCGTCTTTTTTCCCCCGGTAATGTTGTAATTTTCCAATCCTATACTAGTCACTGCCATGCCTCAAAATCCTTGAAAATTTGTCTCTGAGAGACATAAAATGTCGCCTAAAGTTTATAATATAGAATATACAGGGAAATCTATAGGCTCCTGGGGCCCCAGAAGTGATGGAGGGGCCCGGGCCTCCGAATAATCCTGAGAATGGGTTATTTTGAAGTTCAAATACTCTTGGATTTGACTCCGAAAATGCTTAAAATTGCGTTTGAAAAAGTGCGACATTTTTAAAATTTTCCGGGGGAGGGGCCCCCGAACGACAGGAGGGGCCCCCAAATTCAGGTAGCCTCCTAACTTTTCGACTGCCAGTCCGCCCCTATTTATGCTCGCATCGTAAATGTGGGAATCGAGCGCGAAATTATTCGAAATTTGTAGTATACTTGCCGCAACATTAAGGTGACATACGTGTATGTTTTTATGTTTTTGCAAAACAGCTAGAAACGTCGCGTAGGTACTTGCTGCGATATTGACACGAAAACGCATAATTTATCATTTTTTTTACAGAAACTGTAGAATAATCGCGTATTTTTTAATATTCAGCGTTCACGGAAAGCATGACAATGTTTGATGAATTAACTCTGGTTAAAGCTGACACCAAGCGATCAATCATTCGAACTCGGAGTAGCTGTGCGGTGCCCATCACCCGAAAATATGTAAGTTTATAAATTTAGGATTTATGCTCTCATCGCTAATTTAGGAATCAAGCGCGCAACTATTCGAACTCTGGAGTAGGTATGTGGTATCACGTGAAATTGAAGGAAAATCTTAACTTTTTGAGCTGAAGTGTTTTATGAATCATCACTGGTCACAGCGGACACCGAGAGCGCAACTATTCGAACTCCGGAGTAGTCATGTAGTATCACGCTAAATTGAAGGAAAATCTTAGCTTTTTGAGCTGAAGTGTTTTAGGAATCATCACTGGTCACAGCGGACACCGAGCGCGCAACTATTCGAACTCCGGAGTAGTCATGTGGTATCACGCGAAATTGAAGGAAAATCTTAGCTTCTTGCCTGTCTTTCGCACTGACATTTATTAAATTAGGATTTAGCTCGCATCGTTAGATGCAGAAATCAAGCGCGCAACTACCCGAATTAATGATGTTAATATGAATGCCGCGATATTCACGTGAAAAACGCGCAATTTTTTGTTTTTACATAAAAACCGCCGGAAAAATCGCGTATTTGCCGAGATATCAATGTAAATTCACAAGATTTACGTTTATTCAAAATCCTTTAAAAAATTGCGCAAATGTTGCGATTCCAGGTGAAAGTCTTGTAATTTTTTCAGCTTTCACAACACCGCTGGAATTGTTGAGTGTGTCCTGTAACATTGAGGTGAAAATAGCGGTATTTCTCATTTTTCACAAAATCACTGTATTACTTTTCTGTGAAGGGTTAAAGTCTCTGAAGTGTCTCCTGCATTATGCCGTCATGGCAATCCTTCGGGTGGTTTAGCATCATCATATTTTTGAATAATAATATGTCTTCATGATTTAAGCAACTCCTGTTCGGCGATACACCATTACTTTTTAGCACTGTGTTTGACTCTCTGCAGTGATTCCTGCATTTTGATTCGATTTTAACAACTCAGTTTTAATTATTATGAGTTTGAGTTATCCCATCTGTTGATCTATCGAATACGATCTATTGGACGCCTTCCCCCGCAAAACGTGCATATCATCATGTTCAATCATTCTATCTCATTTCCGTAAATAGTAATCGAATTTAAAAATCGAGATATGTGCAATTTAAGGCCCAATTTTTAGCGATTTTCCTTCTCAAATATCCGTTTCATAGTGAGGAACTCAGCTCTAGCTCTAGCTCCGTCCCCTCCCAATTTGTCGTTGCCCGGAGGGGACATTTCTCCATTCCAAGGTTGCAAAATCTAATTACTCCATTCTTGTTTTCACACGAAGAATATAGCGAAATATCCGTCCAAAATTCTGTTGATTTTGCATGGTAGTCCATGGAAAAATCTGTGGAATATTCTGGGAAACATTTCAAAAATATCCAAGTAAAAAAAAAAAAAAAAAAAAAAAACAAATTGAAAGGAAATGTGGCAACGTTGAAAGTAGTTACGTTCTTTAGATCGGGAAACGTCGCATTGTGTGCCCAGGTAAATCCAGAGTTGAAATTTTTCACGAAGAAGAAAATCTTGAAATTTCATGTGAAGTGTTTCATGAAATTTCAGAAAAAATATAAAAAACATGGAAAAACATCTCTCTAAATTAAATGCAAAATTAAATGAAAGGCGGCCGGTTCTTGCTCTTCGGTGTTTTTTAGCGCGCGCTGCATTCTCAGCCCCTGAAAATATCACTGGAAAAAAAACACATTGGATCTAGAGTCCAGACTCTTAAAAACATCGACAAGAAAAAGTACTCTTGATTCAATCAGAATCTAGCTTAAATCAAGAACCATAGCCTCTTAATTTAAGCGGATTTCGTTTTGATTCAAGCAAAAATCCGATCGAATCAAGAGTATTTTTTCTTGTCAATGTTTTCAAGAGTCTGGACTCTAGATCCAATGTGTGTGTGTGTTTTTTTTTTTTCCAGTCATGTTTCACCCTTTTCATATTTTTCACAACTTTGTGAAATTTCATGGAATAATCCACGGAAATGTTCAATATTTCATATTTTTCATATCACCCGCGCAACCCACGGTAACTCATCGGCAGAAAACCGTGCGCGAAGAAGGAAGACTCGCCGTGCTAAAATCGGCTATTACTCACTTTCGTGGCCGAAGTCAGAGATGGCCACGGTTAGCGGTTCGATCGTAGCGGCAGTTCACTAATTACTCCCACCTTCGAAAGCCCACCTCCTCGGAATGGTCGCGCGTAGCTGCCGCGGATATTTCATGAATAATTACTCGCGCTCCTTATTAATGTCCCGTTTACAAATTGCAACTCTGTTCCGATCCGAGGACTGGCCTCAGATACGCGGCCGAGCCGAGCGGCTAAATATGAATGAATATAAGTAAATAAAAAAGCGAATGGGATATAGCGCCTGGCGCTCTGATTGGCCGCGGCCGGGGACCCGCGCCGAGGCCACGCCCATTCACGCGCTCAACAATCGAGCTGGACACAGTTCGCTCGGGTACCCAGTCCAAGTCAGGAATAGCTGCCTCGCGCTGCGCGCCGTGCCCTTTTTCTCCCGCACGTAGTGTTTTTCGATTGAATTTTGTTTGTTTTTCCTTTTTTTAAACATTTTTTGGTGACGATTCTTACGACTTTTGCCGTGTGCTTCGGTGGTTTCTCTGCGTTCTGAACTGTAAAATACTCTTTAAACTGGTGTGGTGTGAGTGAACATTCTCTCCGCGTTTTCAAATCCACGTGTCGGGCACTTTTTCCGTGAGAGTTTTCGCGATCGGGTTGAATGTATTCCAGAGTTGGTGGTGTGTTTTTGGCCGGTATTTTCACGGGAGGAAAACACGGTGTCGCGTGAATCTGTGGCGTGTTTTGGACTATGGAGGCGTGTGTTATTTTAAGGCCCCATTCCATTGACGAAGATCAAATTGTTCCGGATTGCGCTGCTGAGTTTAATCTGTCATCTTCCGTTAACGGCAGTTGTTCCGATATTGATTCCTGGTTACAAATGCAGGTATGTCCGCTCACATGTACCTTTTTCAAAACAACGCAGTGCGAAATTTAAGGAACGGAGACAATTTGAGCGACAATCTCTATTGTTGAAAAAAATTAGATCTGTTCTGAAACAATAACAGACTGCCGTATACTCTAATCAGAGACAAGAGACCCTCCACTGGCCTCCTAGCGACAGGTGGAAGCTTTCACTTTCGGGGTTTCAACAATTCCACATGGACAATTATTAGCGAGCAACAGTCATCACCCTATTTTCGGCTGTTGACTTACCTACATGGTCGATGATGAGCTTCGGATGACGTCATAAGCCAAACAACTTTCCCAAACGTCGGCCATTTTCGGCTTGTTTGCAAAACGAAACTGCCAACACGTTGTTGAACATCAACCATGTAGGTAAGTCAACAGTAGAATGCTGAAATCCCGAAAGTAAAAGCTTCCACCATGGCCAAGTTACTAGTGGAGGGTCTCTTGTCTCTGACTCTAATTCCTGTTTTGTTGTTGTTGTTGTTGTTGTTGTTGTTTTTTTGTTTTTTTTTTTAATAAAAAGGAAGGGAGATAAGAATAACATTGCGTGACGTTTTTAGAGTAGGCATAACGGGTACGTTTCGAGTACATTGACTTTGAAGGTGAGGTGATCATTATGCGGCTCAAGAAGCTGCACTGAAAAAAAAAAAAAACCCATTGGATCTAGAGTCCAGACTCTTAAAAACATCGACAAGAAGAAATACTCTTGATTCAATCGGATTTTTGCTTAAATCAAGAACCAAGCCTCTTAATTAGAGCGGATTTCCTTTTGATTTAAGCAAAAATCCGATTGAATCAAGAGTATTTTTTCTTGTCGATGTTTTTCAGAGTCTGGACTCTAGATCCAAAGTGTTTTTTTTTTCCAGTGTGGTGGTTCGTTGGGAGAACTTCGTTTCGAAGAGACGGGACATCCTTAAAAACTAGTAAATATTACGCAAACGATGCAATTTTATAAAGTCCAAATCTTAAAAACGGAGTCCTTACTAGGTTACTTATTAAAAAAAATTACTTTATTTTACTGACAAGTTCGCTAAATATGACATGATACTTTTGCACACGCACGAATAAAAGTTATAATACATAATATGTTCAATAATACTGATAATGATCATGCCGGTTGTATTTCCAATTTTACATTAAAAGGGGTTAATTATGAGCGTGCATTGGGGTCTATTTGCAAAGAAATAACGAAATAAGAATCACGATACGAATACAACTTTAACGAAAAAATATTCAAAAGCGAACAGAATTTTAGGGGTCCCTTAAAACTTCGCGTCTGGAGCTACCTTCGTAACTTGACTCTTGAAACGGACCTGATCATAGAAATTATCACGGGTTGCCAGAAAAGACGGGTAGCCTAGAATATGACCACTGGTATGTTGTCCTTTTTCAACCCTCTCTTTGGACGACAGTATTGATATGGAGATGTATACGTTTTTACCACGTAACTAATATCTTCACCGCTATGTATGAGCAATTCTATTTTGTTGTTCACACGGAGAAAAAGAGGTAGTTAAGTCCGAATTTAGACTTTTTCAATCAATGTGGCAGTAGGTACCGCAATAAATTAGGTTACCGACTCAAATGTCTCGGTACAATTCCGAAATTAATTGGAAATGTCCTCATCATCAAACAAATAGGGTGGTACCACACTTTTAGGGGCTGACCCCCTAACACTTTTTTTCCGTGCAGTTGCATTTAGCAGATTAAGCCGTCCGTTTGTTACGGAGTTGAACATGTAACCTGATTAAAATTTCTTCGTCCTCTCTGCAGTGATAACTTAAATTAAATTTATGTATTAATTTTTACTGCACGGGTCTCACATCATGTGGTGTAGGTACTATGTGACCTCGAGATGAACACTATTTTAAAAAGATCAGACACTAGCTGATGGCAAATAAAATATAATTTTCTAAGGAAGGAAGAATGAACCACGGGGTCAGGGTTGACTGAACCACGAAGTTGAAGGACCTCCCTGAAAATGAAATCGTTTAGGCGATGCAGGCGTATAAAGGTTGGATATATTTGTTCCTTACAATTTCAAAAGAGCTGACAATTCTAAAAATCTGTCAATTTTCTTTTTTTGGAAGAAAAATTGGCTCAGGAATGAGCAGATATGTTGGAAAATTCATACAACGTCACCTTTCAGTCAAAGTATCACAAGCACCATGCGACGTTTCAAAATTTCCGCAGCCATTTAAATGTTTTACAGAAAAATCGTTCAACGAAGCTGTCCGAAAATTTCACTGAATTTTTTTTGCGCTGCCGATAAATTGCAGTGAAATTTTCAAACAGATTCAACCAACAATATGTCTGTAAAAAAATAAATGGCGGCGGAATTTTTTAAACGTCGCACGGCGGGTGTGATACTTTGGCCGGAACCTAACGACAACTCGATAAGTTTTGAAGAAAAATCGGCAACTGAGAATTTTCGAAATCGATTTCCAGTACTAACCTCCATCAGCTCACATAATGCGACTCGTGAAATCAAAATTTATGCCCCTCGAAGTGCACTTTTTATGATCAAATCGAATGCTCGCGGAAGCTTGCTGTTGGGACAAATTATTCTACGGAAGCACTAATTTACGAATGCTGTCTCGAAAAAAATTATCTTTGGTTTCAAAAGACCATTTGCGCATGTTGCTCATATCGCTCAAAAATAGCTGCTTTTGAATGAATTCTGAAAAGAACAGTAATCAAAAGTGTACTGATTGAGATTCAATCAGAATATTTGTCATGGAATCGAGGAGGGGAGATGATCCATATCATGGAAACTCCTTTTGTTTCTGTCATTGATATTGGTGGAGGCTTAAATGCACTTGAATACGTGCGGTGGTAAATTTCACAAGGAAACAAAAAAAAATCAAAAGCATGCAAAGGAGGAAAATTTTGAGAATTTGCAAATGGAAGGATAGCTCAGCGATGGAAGGATAGTCTAAGCGATCGTGAAGTTACCAATTCAAACAAGTTTTTTTATAGCAGGAATGTTCTCTATTTGTCATTTGCATTCATTTCCCCCTTTTTTGACTCGCCAAAAATAATGCCCAAGCTAAACAACTGAATGAAGCAATATAGTCCCATTTTGCACCATTCAACTTTATGTTTTTGAAATTCTTAAAAGTGGCTTATTTGTGTGGACCATATCGCTTATCCGTTTTCGTTTATGCATGTTTCATGGCGTTTTTACAACATTTTCGCTTCACGTCCATCAAGAGTTCGATGAGGACGCCGATGAAAGGACATTTATAAAGTTCGATTTTTTCGGCAGGTGAATCATTTGCGAATACCTATAGGTCACAAACTACGTTAAAAGACGACATCTTGGCATTGATTTTAACAAAAGAGGAAAAACCTAAAAAAGAACACTTTCTAGCTATCTGTCTGCTAATCTATGTGACCTCAATACTGCTTCTTCGCTTTCTGTTTTTCTTTTCCACGAATTTGGGAGTTTTCGTTACGTCCTTTCTTTTTTTTTTTCCTCAACCCATTTTATTTTATCATCGCATTTGCGGCGACCGCAATTATTTAGGGTTGTGTAGACACTTGTTGAGGATTAAACATGGAATTCGAGACCCGGGGCTGGCGAAGGTGAGACGAGAATCAGTTAATGTGACAGAGGAGGTGCCGAACCGATAGACACCTGAAATCAGAGAGGAAACGATGTCTCGGGGATCGATCTGGACGCGCAGATAACCGGTGTCCTTAATTGAAAAGAAATGTTAATGCTGGTGTTTAAAGAAAGAAGCAAAGGTGATCACGAAAAGTCCCCGAGACAAACAACTAAACTGACGACATTTTATATGTATTTAGGATCCCCATGTCTGGACGCCTCGTATGACTTTTGTTGATACGCTTTTCAACCGGTGTCCTTTCCACTTCTCTCGTTAGCTTTTCGCAGTGCGATGTAATTTGTTCGGGGCGCCTATGATGTCACCTGTATCCACACGCCGTTATCTTTATATTATCCATGTCTCATAACCTTGTTGTGAATAGAAAGTGACCCCCCGCCCTCCACAATGACTGCCGGGCGGCACAGCCCTTAATTAATTTTATAATGGTATAAAATAAAAGGCTCAGCTTCAACACCTAATTTATTACACTCGTAAATTCGAGGAAAACATCGTGTACTAAAGTTTCGACCTTACGGCGCGGCGGTGCGATGCAAAGTGTTTTCTCTGATTTTTCGGTGGTAAAACACAGTGCCACACTTCAGAGATGTTAGCGTGCAATTGTCGTAAGCAGTGGCGGATCTAGGGGGGCCATGGTGGCACGCCCCCCCCCCTTGGACCAAAAAGGGTGAAAAGGGGGGAAAGGGAGAAAAAAGAGTGGTCCTAGAAATTTACTGAAATGTTTCAAGATAGAATTATATAACCAAAGTTTACCGAACCGACGGTTACTCAGTACGCAGAAATAAATAGTCCAAACACTAAAATAAAATTACTCTACGAGGTATTATTCGTCAAATATCAACTTTCAAATAACACACAAATTGTAAGTCAAAACTGCTCAAAATTCAATCTGGGAGGGGCTATTTTGTTACATTTTTCGCCTCCCTCGGACCCCCTGGCTCGGGGGGGGGGAGGGGGGGAGGGCGCAGAAGGGCACTCCATCAAGTGGGATCTGTAGGACCTTCAAATTGGGGTTAATAAATGGCTTCTTCAGCTCCAAATTTAGGGTCGGACAAACCCAGGACAAGGATGAATCAAACAAAATCAGGACACTGAGGAGGATTACTACAGGATGTCGCGCACTTATTTTGAAAAAACCCCCTTTGCAATACGCGCTCTGTTTCGTTGGAAGCTGGAAGGAGCAGCGGATATCGAAACACGTGTTCACTGACAAGGGAGATTTGGTCAGATGTTCATTCGGGCTTTCCAAGGATATGTTGAGATTTCGCCGAAGTGGGCTGATATACTCACTGTTCTTTTGTTTTTTCAGTTGACCGTGATGAACGCATTAATTTTGTTTCATTCATCC